TCCACTCTTTTTGGACTTGGAGCCACGGCAAGATATGTTGGGCACTTACACCATCGTGCCGACTACGTTTTTTGTGAGATTATTTTAATCCTTTCTCTTTTCCTTGTTATTACATTTTTATTAATAATTATATTAATAACATTATTATTTATTATTTTGTTGTATTTTATATAGATGATGCTGGATGAATTGGAGAAGGAGATGGATAAGGGGGGAGTGGACCTGGAATCGGAGGCCCTCCGATCTTTGATTCGCATTGCGAGTGAGGGGGTCAGCGGTTGGGGGAATCCGTGTCCTTGGAAAGGGATTAAATATGTAAGTTTCCAATGATTCCGAATCAATTAATATTGCAATCTTTCCTAAAAAATTAGTGAATTTCTCACAACTCAATGCAACAGATTATTGGAGTAGTGAATTTGTCCAACCACTACGTGACTGTCAAGATCTCTTTACTCAAGGGGACGATAAGTGTGTTTGACCCTCTACGGCATACGTATTTAGAAAAGAAGAACGAGCACATTCGCGAAAATCGCGTCAAAGGACTCCAAAAAATCCAAAATCTAATTCCATTGGTTGCGATGTATGAAGATGTAGAGAGAGTGAGCAAAAAGTTCGAATTGGAATTCAAGGACCCCAAAAATACTATCTTGCAACATGATAGAATTAATTGTGGTGTATGCGCTGTGGAGATGGTACGAACATTGCTCACGAGGACGATGCGTTTCAAGAAATCTAACTATCAGTTGGCTAAAGCAATGAGGCACAAAATTGCTCTACAAATTTTTCAGTTTAGTACAGAACTAGACACAATAGTTCTTTAATGATTCATGTAATACATTTTTATTATTTTTTTTTGTATTTTATTATAATTTTGTTGTTTGTTGTATGTATGTGGCATTTCTCATACCTGAAAGAAAAAAATAAACTAAATTAAACGATGAATGATGAAAGAAATAAAAAATTAATGAACGTGGGGTAGGTCTAATAAAAAATAAACTTTCGAGTAGAAGTGCGAAGGTAGTATGCGAGCAATATGCGGCAATTCGCATACACCATCTCATAACTGAAATAACTAAAAGATGAAAGAAATAAAAATAAACTTTCGAGTAGAAGTGCGAAGGTGGTATGCGAACAATATGCGGCAATTCACATATCCCATCGCATGACTGAAATAACTGAAAGAAGAAATAAAAACGAACTTTAGAGTAGAAGTGCGAAGGTGGTATGCGAGCAATATCCGGAAATTCGCATACCCCATCACATAAGTGAAATAACTGAAAGATGAAAGAAATAAAAAATAAATTTTCGAATAGAAGTGCGTAGGTGGTATGCGAGCAATAGGCGGAAATCCGCATACCCCATCGCATAACTGAAAGATGAAAGAAATAAAAAAAAAATAAAATAAACTTTAGAGTAGAAGTGCGAATGTGGTATGCGAGCAATATGCAGAAATTCGCATACCCCATAGTATAACTGAAAGATGAAAGAAATTAAAAAAAAAAAAAAACTTTAGAGTAGAAGTGTGAATGTGTTATGCGAGCAATATGCGGAAATCGCATACCCCATCGCATAACTGAAATAACTGAAAGATGAAAGAAATAAAAAATAAACTTTAGAATAGAAGTGCAAAGGTGGTGAATATGCGGAAATTCACATAAACCATCGCATAACTGAAATAACTGACCAAAAAAAATTATTGTGCACCAACTATACAAATAATATGCGACGTTGGTATGTCGCAGTTGTGTCGCGAATTATTTTTTCGACTAATAGTCGCAGATTCATTCGCCTAACAAGAATAATTATCTAATGGACGACGGACCGCGATTGACCGAATCGTACATCGAATCTCCGCATATTCATCGTAGAACAGTCGCATACTTTAACTCATAATTTTCTCGCCCATGCTCATACATGTCTCCTATTTATCGCATAGTTAATCGCATATGTCTTCGTACTTTTTGGGGTGTAAAACTTAGTTTTTTATTGGGTGGTGTGTAAAACTTAGTATGACTTTAGAACGGGGTGAAAATAGCTATTTCCACATAAAATAAAGAGTAATGCTATAAATACATAATATTGTACATAGAGGTGTACATAACATTCACATTGAGTGAGACCCATCAAAAATAAAAATCAAGTAGACTTCACTCCATGTGAGTGTTATGTAGATCTTTATGTACATTTATTATGTACTTGTAGTATTTATTAAAAATAAATACATGCAATCAATAGGATAAAAGCACGCAAATAAATAAATAAAACAATAAATGAAATAAAAATACTAAAATACACGAGAAGCGAACGGAGCACTACAGCAACAGTCGATTTTATACAATGCAACGTTTTGTTTATAAAGTGCATCATACCGATTTATAAAGTGCACTACTACTTTGTTATCAGCATACATGATAACTTATAAATTATGTGTTTTAGAATTAGATTTATTAGAGAAATTGTACATTAGCTTAATCTAAATAATTGAAATAATTTTTTAGTTATTATTATAAAAGTGTATTTATTATTTAAACATTTATATATATATATATATATTTATACTATTTTTTTGGTTACAAAAATACAATATACATATATGTAGAACATAAATATATAAAAATAATATTTTTATATATACTTTTCTATAAATTACAGATTCAACCAATGGGTTGAACTGAAATATAATATAAAATCTTGTAATTGCAAACAAGCCCCTATAAATTATCAAATTTTCAAAATTTGCCAAACCCAATATCAATGTTCCTGCGACTCCGGCTGTCTTCTTATCCGTCGTCAACCGACCGTCCGAGAAGATGTGTCGCTGCAGAATGTCGTAGGAGGAGACAACCTTATTAGCGTCGGAGTTAAGCGGCTAGTCGGAGGATGCAAAAAAACGACAGCTTCGGCGGGTCGGAGGATTCTCTATTATCTGAAATCGGCAACAGACAAAGCCGACAAATTGAAGTTACGGTCGGTGGCGCTAGGAGGCAGGAAGGGCAGGAAGATGACGGTGTCTCTATGGCGTTCGGCGTCTCTGCAGCTTCTATCTCCGGCGACTGAGGCGACCAAGGACAAAAACTGGGGCGGTTGGGAAAGATGACAACGGCAAGGCTGGAGGTGGGCCGACATCCGGCGACTGGCCGTGCAGCTTTGCATTGTATGTAAGTGTGTGTTAGATATGTGTTGCATGCGTGTGGTTTGTGTGTAAGAGAGAGAAAGGGTGAGTGGATGGTGTGATGTGTCAAGGCCACGTGGCATTAAATTATTGGGTGTGGAGAGTGTTAGTTGGCATTGACCCCATAGTTTTATAGTCAAAATTTCCATAATACCTTTAATGAATAAATGAATACTGAGTTTTTGGTATATGTTATATCGTTTGATCCAATGGCTCTCATATATTCTTATTTCTTTTACGTAGCATCATTCTCGCTAGAACCTATATATATATATATGTGTGTGTGTGTGTGTGTGTGTGTGTGAATACGTAAGACTCGATCGTAGCCATTGATTTTGTGTTGATCTACGGCTCATATTAATCAATTAAATACACATTAAATAAATAAAAAAATATTAAGAATTATATTTAAATTATTATAAATAATAATAAAATGCATTTACCGGTTGTTGACTGCCGACAACCAAGATTTAACCGGCGTTGATCGTCGACCGGCGGCCGTTGACCAGTCAACAGCTCACTGGAATCAGATTTCGCCAGAAACTGTTAGTTCTCGCTGTCGTTGAAGACCTCCGACAGCCTATGACGGGCCAGACGCCGGAGAAGAACCCAGCCTGAAAGTCGCTGGCAGTCTTCTTCTCATGCACAATTCTGGTCGGCCTACGCTACGCCTGCGCGATTCTGGTCTGGCTCATCGTATTCCAGACTAGCACGGGACAATACTGATTCAGGAAGCTCGTGATGAGCCCGCTCACCCAGTTAGCAGTTGTGTGCGTGTCGGCGTGGAGGAAGAGGGGGCTCGAGCTTCAGGCGAACCTTGCATTGTTGTACGACATCAATGACGTGGTTGGTAACGTCTGGTGCCTCAAGTCTGGTGAGAAGGGAGGTGACTGCGGCTGGAAGAAGGTTGGGCGGGCTTTCATTTATCAGATTTGGGGCTTGGGCCTGCATCTGAAAATCATATTTAATTTAAATATATAATAATGCATATTTAGTTCTTTAATGATGCATAATTTTTATTTTTTCCCCAAACAATAGATATCAATATTGTTGTTATGCGATTATTAACAACGATATAGTGGGAGTTTAGTTTATTATTAGTGATGATTTGAGCGTAAAACATGTATGAAATACTCAACAATGGCCCCGGTCCGAGGTGGACCGAGGTGAAAAGCTTCTATGAGCTGTTTCGTGTTTCATTATGAAGAAGTTTGGTTCAGGAATCGAATCTTGTACAAGTGTTATGAACTCGCTATTTATAGCAACTTTTTGAGATACATTTCGAGATTCGTGCGTTGCTTTTTCTATAAAGCTACTTTTTGGTGGGCGGCAAGATCAGTGGGTCCCACTTGAGTGATAGCAGATCTCGTAGTTTGTAAGAATGGCGTGTAGGTGCCTTGTCACCTGCTTTAGGAGGTGACAACCTCGGTTCGTGTTAGTCTCGGTAGAGATGACCTCGGTTTGACGATGGTCATTTCGGTCTTCTATGGTCATACCGGTTCGTCCTGCGAACCGGGGTAACGTCGGACTAGGTCGGTGTAAGTGTTATATTACCTGAGACACTGTTCAAGGCTCTTAATAATGGATTACAGAGTCGAATGATAACAGAGAGGCTCCCAATATCGGCGGGCATACGGAGTGATGGTCGCCAGTATTGCAAAATAGCTAGGGACTTCGAGTCGGTAAGGAAGCTGGAGGTTGAAAATGCCTGTTTTGGATGTATTGATTTATGTGAGGTTACCAGAGTAGATCGTAATTCCCGAAGTGAAGCTGACTTTCGAAGTGAGAACACTTGGCGAAATTTAGACAGGTCGCAGGCAGTATTAGAGATGACATGAAGAAACGTAACGGTCGGATATTAAATGTGCAACGTGAAGAGTCGCGCCGTAATGATCTTAAATGAGATAACGGTCGATTTTAATAGGGTGCCACGTGCACAGGGAGCTTTTGTCAGGTGAAGGGATGGCACCGCTTGGAATTAGGAGTCGCGTCGGTTGCACGCGCCCCTTATTAAGGTCTCCAACGGTCAGAAATAGGAGATTATAAATAGGGTTTTGCAATTTGCAATTGAAATTTCTTCACTTTTGCATTCATCTTCACATCTTTATATACTGTTATTGAAATTCCTCTGCAAATTTGAGATTTGTTCTTGGTGCGCGAGTGTCTGCTCATTCGTTTCTCGGTAAGCTTCATTGTCGATCTTTGCTTTTTCATTGTACTTTTATTTTTCTTTCTATTCGATGGCGTCGAAGGGTAAGGGTAAGGCGGTGGCGAGTTCTTCTAGTACCGAGTTGGTTCCGTTGGAAGTATATCATGACTCGGAATTGGTGGAGTTGGCCTTTGAATATCATAGATGTGATCCGATATTGGTGAGGCACTTAGGCATTAAGCCAAACGATGAGGACGACGATCTTGTGGTGGAGCATAATGTCGCTGATGTTGAAGAACCTCATTGGAGGAGGCCAGTGAGGACGTGGCCTGACCCGAAGGTCGATTTTGAAGGTGAGCCTAGTATTCTAACGGACGCCGATGTGGTGATGCTCCGGGAGCAAATACGGGTTCCGCCCTCGGTAAAAATTTTTGCACCTTATCCGGAGGAAAGGATAACAAGCCCTCCCCTGGGTTGTGTAGGTGTTTTTGCGGAGAGCCTTAGGTCGGGGTTGAGGTTTCCGCTGCCGAATTTGATTACGGAGTATCTCCGAAGTTGGGGGTTACCGTTGTGCCAGATTACCCCGAATAGTTGGAAGAAAATAATCGACCTGATAGTGTTCTTACATGAACGGGGTGAAGGGTTACCGTCGGGTGACAAAATACGAAGTATATATGCCTTTAAGAGGAGTCCAAAAAAAAGAGTGGCGGAGTCTTCATGTTGCTTTTTCGCGGGGGCGAAACCCGAACATGGTCTTCAAGTCGGTGAAATCATAACCGAGATTCCGGAAACACTACACGACTTCCAGGAGTAGTGGCTTTGGGTTGGCGGGGAATGGCAGTCCGAGAGTTTCTTCCATGAACCTCGGATTGACGGGATGACAATCCCGATGAATATTCATAGTGGAGCAAGTGAGTTTATTTATCCTTCGTTTCTTGCATATTTTTCTGATGTCGGTTTTGTTCTGTGTACTAACAGGTTGGAACTTTTACCCTTTGTAGAAAAAGAGATAAAGCAGAAAGAACCGAAGCTCAGTCCGAAATTCGGTGGGAAATTACTTGTGCTTGCCGGTCTTGATAAGGAGCTTCGAGATTACAGAAAACTTGTGATAGACTCGAAACTTGAAGCTGTTGGTTTGTCTCCTGGGGTCATTACTTCTAAATTCGATCCCGGTAAGAGAGATTGATGCTCGGTAGTTTTACCACTATTTCCATAGATATGCATGCAGAATAATTGTTAGTGACTTCGTTTGCCTTATGTCTTGATACAGTATATTATCCATTGCTTGGGTTTCTGGGCTACCGAACTGTTAAGGAGGCCAAAGAGTTTAGGCGTCGCTATCCGAATAAGGATCTGCAATCCAAATTTGGTAAGAGCCGAGACTTGCGGTTGACTGACGCTATGAGGCGAGATTTAGTCCGCGCTTTGGTGAAAAAGACCACTGGCCAGAAAACCACTGGTAAGAAGCCGACCGACGTGGGATCAAGTGCGACGTCGGCGGCTGTTTAGAAAGTTTGAAGTCCCAGCAAGAGGTTGTACCTACCGAGGTGCTGCCAGTTGTAATGCTGATGCGATTAATCAAGCGGAGCCCGAGCCTGATGTGATAGGGACCGAGATGGCCGTGGTTGAGCCAACGCCATCCGAGGTGCCGATAGTAGGGCAAGAGGAACAACCATCTCCTGCGAAGTCCGTGGAGTCTACACAACCGGAGAAAAGGGAGAAGAGGAAATTGGTGAAGACATCTGAGGCCGGAGCCTCTTCCGGGGTGGAGAAAAGATCAAAGAAGAAGCACGACTTCGGTCGTAAAGCTATTGAGAAGGGCAGCGATGAGTCTCCCCTATTTGAGAAGTCGTTCTTAACGATTGATGAGGAGAGGGCAGCTAATGTGAAAGTGCCTGAAGGAGTGGTGGAAGAATGGTTCACCACTTTCAAGTCCGTGAAGACTCCTTACATGTCTTCAAGGATTAAAATGCCGGAGAGTGCCAAGAATGCGGCGCGCGTGCTGTTGATGGTATGGGATCCAAAGTTTAAAGTGGGAGTCTCTTCTTTGTCGAGTGTGGACAAGCTGAGCTACTCCAAGGCATGTTTGGGTCGAGCTCTAGTAAGTTTGGTGGCGGCTGAGGACGACCATAGCCGAATTGCTTCCCAGTTGGAGGGGAAGAAACAAACTGTGACTGAGCGAGATGTGATGATTGCGTCTCTAAAGGAGGAGATGGCTAAGGCTGAGGCCACCTTGAAAGAGAAAATTTCAGAATGAGATGTGCAGCTCGAAAAATCACAGAACGAAATTACCATATTGTCTGAGGAAAAGAAGTCCCTCCAAGCCGAGGTGAAAGAACTCAAAGTGCACCTAGCTTTTGCCGAACAACATTCTAAGGCGCTCGAAACCAAAGCTGAAGAGGTAGAGAAAAAGCTGTTGGAGGAGAGGACCGAGCATGAAGCAACTCGTAAGGAGTGTGCCGAGGTCCGCGAACTGGTGGGCCGACAACGGGATTCACATCAGGCCGAGATGGCCAAACTTGAGAAAGAAAAGTCATCCTACGGTGAAACCATGTATGAAATCGGCTTTCAAGCTGGAAAGGACTCAATTCCTGAGGCGGAAGCTGCTCAAGCTGGTGAAGAGGAAGTCGCAGGCGAGGCTGGCGCCGAAGTGGGAGAAGAAGTCGGCCCAGATCTGGAACTCGAGATGAACACCTGTCTAACACTTCGGTGGGTTATCGAGCGGTACAACGCGGGTTATTATGACATTGATGAACTCTGTTTCTTCTTGTTCCACAAGCTTGAGAAATATGGCTTTGATACGGAGATAAAGGGGATGCATATAGAAGCTTACGAAGATGAACGAGAGTTTTGTGAATGGATGCTCCGTCGGGCTGAAGAAGTGGTACCTAATCTCGACTTGCCTCCACTTACTGAAGAAAGGGCGGCTCTTCTCCGACGTGCTTACGTCAATATGATTCTTGAGGGGGAAAAGGAGAAGAGAAAAGAGCTGGCTGACGTATATCTTTCGACTCTCGCTGATGTGGAGGTAGAACAGCATTTTGACGACATGACCCCTGAGCAG